CCGAAGTTTGCCCACGCTTGGCAAACTTTAAAATTGTTTCCTATGACATTCATAGGCGGGCGAAGCGACTTGAAAGCACGTTCACACCAACATAATGGAACCCGCGCCAAGGGGGGATTCCTGTTCTGGCTCGAGGCAGGAGGGCGCTTCCTGCCCGAGGGAGAGAGGCTTCCTCGCGCCTGCCTTCCTTCCTTCTTTCCCCGCGCGCGCGCGTGCGCCCGCTCCCTCACTCACCCTCTCACCACGAAGAAGGGGTCCTCCAGAGACATCCTTCCGCCTTCGGCCCGAGCACGCGGGCAGCGAGGGAGGGGGCGGCCTGGCTTAGAAGCCCGCGGGAGAAGCCTCCCTCCCGCCCGCCCGTCCCGCCTCTAAAGAGCCGCCCCGCCGCCACCACCTTGGCTCCGGGAAAGCCTTCCCCCGCCCCACGCCCAGCTCAGGGGGAAAAGTTCTTGCAAAAGGAGAACTAAACTTCCCCAGGGGAGGAAGGAGGAGCCAGGAAGAGGAAGAGTTTGGAGTTCACAGGAACGGAAAGGGGGGAGTTTCCCCGCCCCGGGGAACGAGGAGCGCCCACGCGCCTCATGCGAAAGGGCCTCGGGTTTCTCTTTCTCTCTCTCTCCCTCCCTCCCCCTTCCTTCATTTCCTTTTTTTCTGTCTGATTTCAGAGGGAGGAACTGGCCAAACGTCCCCTGAGTATTCTTTGCTTGTGAAGTTCATAGGGTCGCGAGGACTTCGTAGGACTTGAAGGCCCGGACATAGACACACACACACACATTGATGTCCCTATCCTAAAGGTCTGTCCTCTGGTTAGTCTTTAGAGGGGAGGCCACGAATGGGGCTGCTTCTATCATAAAAACGTGGAAACAAGCTAAACCACCTCTTGAGCATCCCATGCCCAAGGCAACGCTGTCCCCTCTCCCCAACAACTATATAGTAATATATAATACTAATATTGTGCTGTGCTAATATTATAATATATCCTATACTCTAGGCCAGAGTGAAGAGCCAGGGGGACAGTTTCATCTTGCCTTCTGTGTCATCAGTTGGGGGACCCCCCCCCCCCACCACCACCACCAATTGCTGCTCTGGGCCAGAGTGAGGAGAGAGAGGGCCAGGAGAACAGTTTCATCTTGCCTCCTGTGTCATCAGTTGGGAGCCCCTCTCCCCTCAGCACCAACTGCTGCTCTGGGCCAGAGTGAAGAGGGGGGGGGGGCAGGGGGCAGTTCCATCTTGCCTCTTCTGTCATCAGTTGGGAGCCCCTCTCCCCCCAGCACCAACTGCTGCTCTGGGCCAGAGTGAAGAGAGGGGGGGGGCAGAAAGACAGTTCCATCTTGCCTCCTGTGCTATGCTAATAATATAATATATTGTATATTCATATAATATTTATAACATTATAATAGACTACAAAATAATACTAATAAAATAATACAATGTTATAATTACATATTTTATATTACATGTAATATTACTAATAATATTACAGTATAATGGTATAGTACAATATAGTAATATATAATACTGATATTGTGCTGTGCTAATAATATAATGTATAGCAGGTATATATATATCTTGTAAGCTGCTTTGAGTCCCCTTCGGGGTAAGAAGGGCGGCATATAAATGCCATAAATAAATTTATTTTATTTATTTATTATTTATTTCAATTACTTCTACGCCGCCCTTCTCACCCCCCCCCCCAGGGGGGACTCAGGGCGGCTTACAAACAAAGGCACAATTCGATGCCTGAATCAATTAAACAAACAATACATAAAAACGATTTAAACAATTAACAGGTTAAAAACATTAATACATAATAAACTATAAATAATATTGATAATATCATAATGTAATACAATATAATAATTGTATATTTTATATTACATGTAATATTACTAATGATATTACAGTATACAGGTATAGTACCATATAGTAATATATAATACTAATATTGTGCTGTGCTGATAACATAATATATTGTATGTACATATAACGTGTAAGCCGCTCTTGAGTAAGAAGGGCAGAATATAAATGTAAATAAATAAATAAATCAGGAGGTGACTTGGAAGGTCTACCACGTGGAAATAAGGTGTTTGCGCTCAGCCCTCCGGTGCATCCATACTTGGAATTAATGCAGTTTGACATCACTTTTATCTTCCAATGCTCAAAACTGATAGAACCCTGGGATTTGTAGTTTGGTGAGGCACCAGGAGGCTAAAGGTATTGTAAAGCTGCAACTCCCCTAGTTTCATAGCACTGAACCAAGTGGAGTCAAACAGAATTCTAGTGTTAGGCCCCTTTCACACAGCTGAATAAAATCCCACATTATCTGCTTTGAACTGGAATATATGGCAATGTGGACTCAGATAACCCAGTTCAAAGCACATATTGTGGATTTTCTGCCTTGATATTCTGGGTTATAAGACTGTGTGGAAAGGCCCTTAGATGCACCTCTCTGTCGCCCATGTCAGCTCCTTCTTTGCCTCTTCCCAGGGCCCTTCCACACAGCCCTATATCTCAGAATATCAATGCAGAAAATCCCACATTAGCGGAGTGTGGATTCAGATAACCTAGTTCAAAGCAGCTATTGTGGGATTTCCTGCCTTGATATTCTAGGGCTGTGTGGAAGGGTCCCAAATTGCCCGGATTTCAGGCTGGAGATTTTGGGGATATGACCATTCGTGGCTCCGCGTGAAGAACAGGAAAGGTGCCAAATGTTTATTTTGGTTTGTTTTCCTAAATGGGTCGTCTCCGGGAGTGGCGAAGCCGGCAACGCATGCGCAGTCCCGGCGGTACGGCGCCTCTTTGGCCAAGAAGGGGGCGGGGCTTGGGTGGGGATGACGCAATCAGCAGGACCCTGCCAGGGGTGGAGAAACCCCCGGGGCGGCGCGAGACGGGCGCGCGCCCGCGCGCTCCTTCACTTGCTCTCGGCCAGCTTAATCCTGTGCCGGTTTCATCAGAAGCTGCCTGCATCCTGTTAAATAGAACTTGCTTCCAGCTAAATGTGCATTGGATTTCCCCAGCACAGGACCAAGTAGGGGTTGTACATATAAGGCTTCTATGTGATCTGGTCTCAGCCCTGGATACTCATTGGATACCATTCATTCTGCAGAGTAGACCAGGCATGGGCAAACTTGGGCCCTCCTGGTGTTTTGGACTTCAACTCCCACAATTCCTAACAGCCAGTAGGCTGCTAGGAATTGTGGGAGTTGAAGTCCAAAACACCAGGAGGGCCCAAGTTTGCCATGCCTGGTGTAGACGCACTCTTAAGAGAAGAAACCCGGGGGGAAACTGCGTGGCAGCGTGTTCTGTGTTTATGTATCGGATTGCGGCAGGGCAGGGCTTCAGCTGCGAGTGCCGTGCGTCGTGGCGGCCTCCCGTCGCACAGAGGGCTGGCTGCCTGACAAGCCTGAGCTATTCATTTCTTGGACGGGCTCCCGGAAACTCGGCCCTTGCCCATATATGGACATAGGAAGCACAGGAAGCCGCCTGACCGACGTCGGCAATTTTCGAACGTTGGTAAACGCAGCCCTAGGCTCCTCCCCGCACTGACGTCACGAGCCAATAATACACGCCAGGAAAGGGTAACTAAGGCGGAGAGAAGTGGGCGGGGCTAAAAACGGGGCGGGGCCCCTGCAGAGGGAGAAAGGCCCCGGAGAGGAAAAAATGAATGGGGAGCCCGGGGGGGGGGAGGGGCGCTCAGGGCTGGGCTTCGTCACCGTCGAGAATAACCATCCGGGCATTTCGTTGCAAATGCAAACTTGCTCTGCCCCTTGATCTTGCCAAATCGGCGAAAGGTTGTGAATGAATGGCACTCCGCAGCCCCGCCCGGCACGTGCTCTCCGAGGGGCATCCACACTGTAGAATAAACGCAGTTTGACGCCAGTTTCATGTCATTGAATCCTGAGAGTTGCAGTTTCACCAGCTCTTTAGCCTTTGCTAATTATACTGGTGCCTTACCAAACTCCCAAGATTTCATAAGCTTTGAGCCATGGCAGTTAAAGTGGTGTCAAACTGCATTCTTTGTACAGTGTAGATTCACCCCAAGACAGTGGTTCCCAGCCTTTGGTCCTCCAGTTATTTTGGACTTCAACTGGAAGAAATCCCAGCCAGTTTACCAGCTGTTAGGAATTATGAGAGCCGCAGTTCAAGACCCCTGGAGGACCAAAGGTTGGGAACGACTTCCTTAAGATTCTAGAGAACTTGGCAGCTTCAGCACTTGGCTAGCACTTTAATTGGTCCCAATAAAATGTTGTTTGGCTGTGGGTTTTTTGTTTACTTCGGAGTCAACAGGCTGGAGCCTTGGCAACACGAGTTGGGAAACCTTGCTTGGCAAAAATGGGCAGTGAGAGTAGACAGGCAGGCGCACAATACTCCTAGAGAGGCCTGGGGAGGAAGGGAGGGGTCAGCAAAGGGACTCACGTGTTGCTACTGGAGAAAGGAAGAATGCCTGCAAGGGCCTCTTCCCCCTTCCCATCATATACACACACCCTTGAGCCATTCAAGCAAGAAAACTGCCCCACAGGATGTTCTCCCATTCCTGCCCTTTCTGACTCCACTGGAAAACACTACTGTTTTGCCCAAGTTATTCACCTATGTTTGTGCATGGATGTGCAGTTATTTATTTCGTGTGGAAAGCATTGCATAAATAAGTCCTTCCTTCCTTAGGCAATCCCTCGTTGTCCGAGTAAGATTGTCCCTCAAGGTCAATGTACTGGTGGTGGGTACGTAGGTGACTGTGGTGCCCAATTCTTGACCTGCATATTCTCCCGCAGTGAGGACATTGGTTTCCAGGTAGAAGGCGGTCGCAGTCGGGGTTGGCTTGATGTGCCTTCCTCTTGGCACGTTTCTCTTTCACCCTGGCTCTTGAGCACTCCAGCTGGAGGTCAGCTGTGACCAGCAGTGCTCTAGAATTTGAAGAGGCATGAATGCATAAATAAGTATAACACCCAAAAAATAGAAGGAGCACAAGTGGCGAAATAATTTCTGGCCAAAAACAGGCAACAGCAACCACAATGAAGCTTGGATGTGCAGTGCAAAACTGAAGACATTTTACTTTGTTGACTATAAATTCTTCAATCCCTTAGCCAGGCCCGTAGCCAGGATTTTGATTCCGGGGGGGGTGAGTTTGATTCAGGGGTGGGGGCTCAGGATCTACCCTAGCAAACCTTTTGTATCATTATGCCGATACCCCCATGCATATGGGATATATTGAGCATGGTGATTAGATCATGATATGAATAAACATAACAGTTTAATTAATGTACCAGTAAGGCCTTCTCGCGGACCACCATGAGAATTTCGGGGGGGGGGGTCAACCCGGACCCTCAACCCCACCCACCCCCCACCCTCCATCCCCCGGCTACAGGCCTGCCCTTAGTGAAGGTGTGCGATTCTGGGAGTTGTAACCCAACAAAAGGTCAAACAGACCTCTAATAGGAATTCTATTCTTGAAAACTGCAAGGATTCTTGCACTTGATCGTGGAAAGTGCATCAGAAGTGATGTGAGGCTTAGAGGCTAAGAATTCTGTTCTCAAACTCTGTCATGCAGCAATATAAGAATAAGCTTCTATTATCCTTATCTGGGCCAAGCAATCTTACTCCTGACAGAGAACAGGGAAAGGAGAGTTGTTGTTTTCATATACTTTCAAAAATATTTATTCTGCATGTCCTGGAAGATTCAAAACATGGCACCAGCAAACTGAACACCTCTGGGGGTTTTAGGCAGCATTTGCTTGCCTGGAAACCAAAACAACAATGTGTCGCTTCATGTGGGGATAAACAAAAAACACAAGCAATACTTTTTTTAGGACCAGTTAAAAGGCCTTCAATTAAATGCCAAGGTTTCCAGAACTCTGAACCAGACATCTGTACACTGGTTTTGACATGCACAAATTCCACGTGCAAGAACTTGAGATTTCCCACAGGGTACGTTGCTCATGATCTACTTCTTCACTTCTCCCTTTTATAATGACTCTTATGTTGTAATTTGTTTATTAAAAAAGGTTTAGCTTGGCTGCCACTTCTAACTGGAATGCCGTTTTCATTTGCTTAATCAGCTTTGAGGAAATAGCCGGGATTACAAGCATCAACCTGCAACCACAGTGGCTGGTCTAGCTGGTGAGAATTTAAATAGCTGGGCAAATAAAATTAAAAACTACTTGAGTCACATATATGCATGAGATGCGCAGTTGTTTTAGTACTCGTTCTGCACAAAGATCAAATAGATGCACTATCAGTTTAAAGAGCTTAATTATACAGTAATGAATTTCAGCATTCAAATCCAAAACCAGATAATTATTACATCATAAAGCAAATCAAGTTCAGAGTTCATTTTCCTCCCGAGTATTACTCAGAATGGGCTAACAGTTTAGTGCTAAGTTACTAAGGGTTTATCTACCCTGTAGAATTAGTGCAGTTTGACACCACTTTAAGTGCCATGGATCAATACTACAGAATCATGAGAGTTGTGGTTTTCTAAATTGTGCTAATGCCTCACCAAACTATAACTCTCAAAATTCCATAGCATTAATACACAATAACTGTATTCTCAATTTGCTTTTGACACAATAAATAAATTATAGTGTTTAGCTAGGAGTGTTAAAGTGGTGTCAAACTGTATTAATTCTACAGGGTAGATGCATCCTAAGAAAGAGACCCCAAGAAGACACATTAAAGAGCTACTGCCCATATCCCCTGTTGTTTTGACCTGACATGTTTCAGGTGATTTTACTGTTGAACAAGTTTAACTGAAATCATTGCAATTTACCTTTATGTAAAATGGGTATGAATAAGATCCAAACAATTCTTTTAGTCTGGAGTTTAGCACTCTTAATGCAAGGAAGACGGGAGCTTTAAATTAGAGTTATTCTGACCAGTTGACATTTTTAGCAAATAACGTATTTGGGGAATGCAAAAAAAGTGATTTAAAGCTACAGTCCTACACATACACTTTGAAATCAATAGGGCTTCCTTCCAAGTGAATATTGCATGTGCCACGTGGAAACAGTTCAAAAAGGAAAAGCAGCAATGACGCATGTTGTAGCATTAATTGCTCAGTGACTATCGTATCAATGCGCCATGACAGAATTAACACTACAGATGGAGGTTTGCCACCTCAGATGCTGTACTTTTCAGTGCAACTGTTTTTTTCCCATTAATCAAGAGAATCATACAAAGAAACCTGCACGAGTGTACAGCTCAGATCATAGTGATTAGGAAGAATAGAGTGACCCTGGTCTCTCTCTCCAAACCTCGTGGAACTGCACAAAAACACAATAAACAAAAATTAAATATTACAGCTGCAGTTTTACCAAACTTAGTCAAATCTTTTTGTGCAGTTTCCGGAGCTTTGGAGAGAGAGTGCATCAATATCAGGCTGAAATATCCTAAAGGCACCAGATCCCTTCTAATCTTGGAAAGTAAGCAGGATCAACTCTGGTTAGGACTTAGATGGGAGGCTGTCAATTAACACTGGGTGCTGTAGGCTGCATTTCAGAGGAAGGACCTGCCAAAAACACCTGAGTATTCTTTGCCTAACAAAACCCTATGGAAACTGTTGGGTTGTCAGATTTTTGCAAGACAACAGGCAACTTCTAGAGTGATATCATGCAGTCTTTTGAATGTTGCTCAGCTGCCTCTTCCAGCATTCCTTGGTTATAGTGGCTGAGGCTGATGGGAGTTGCAGCCTGATAGCATCAGGACGGCCACATTCTGCACTGTGTTTGAAATCTGGAACCAAACATTTTGTGTAAATTAGAGAAACCATAATGTTCTCGATCAACTTTCCAGATGCTGCTGACCTACAGTTTTAATTAGTTGCTACAGTTAGGGCTGATGGGAGGTGAAGTCCAGCACTCTGGAGGGCCACAAGCTCCGCACTCCAGATAGATGCACATTATGGAGAGATAAAAAAAGGAATATAAATAAACATAAAACTGATTTCTGCTGTGCTCCAAACCATGAGCATCGTTTTGGAAGTTACCCTATTTCACATGGAGCATTGTCCTTGTGGTTATTTTACAGCCTCAAGGGGCCCCAAGGACAGCCACACCATCAAGGCACCTCTTGCATGCATGAACTACCTGGTGCAGCTAGAACATCCTGGTTCCTATTATTTCAAGTGTAATACACTCCGGTGAAGTCAATAAAATTATTTATTTATCGTATCAGGAGCAAATTAAGGATACAGTTGCAATGGGTTTTTTAAAAAAATACACACAAAGTTTAAAAACGTTTATATTAAATGTCCTTTGACCAGTACCTGGTCAGTTGGAGTGCCTCTGGTGTTGCTGTAAGAAGGTCCTCCACTGTGCATGTGGCAGGGCTCAGACTGCATTGTAATAGGTAGTCTGTGGTTTGCTCTTCTTCACACTCCCATGTCATGGGCTCCAATTTGTAGCCCCATTTCTCTGCATCTCATTGTGCCAGAGCGCAGTCTGTTCAGCACCTTCCAAGTTGCCCTGTCTTCTGTGTGCCCAGGAGGGAGAGTCTCATCTGGTATCAGCCATGGACTTAGGGGTTGGGTTTTAGCCCGCCACTTTTGGACTCTCATTTGCTGAGATGTTCCTGCGAGTATCTCTAGTTTGGTGAAGCAATGGGATTTTTTTTGGCAGAGAAGGCTCAAGATCTGATAAAGCTACAAACCCCAGGATCCCATTGCATTGCATCAATGGCAGTTAAAGTGGTATCAAACTACATTATTATTTCTACAGTGCAGATGCACCCTTCCTGGGGGAGGCAGTCGTGGAATAAAAGGCACGCACACCATTGGTATTATATATTATTCGTGAGCTTTTAAGCGATGGGGAGGCATTCCCCCTTTTCTTCCTTCTCCGGGGTGGGGTGGACTTTCCACTGCCCATGGCCCAAGAGGGGCCTGGAAGGTGCCTGAGCGAGAGAGAAAGGGACCCAATCTGGTGCAGAGAAACCTAGTGCTGGGCTTGCAGAAGTCGTCCAGATCTTGATTTTAATGTGAATCTTGCATAGAATAAATGTGCCAAGGCTGGGATCACATTTGGCAAAGGGGGAAAACCCCGCTGGATAGAAGACTTCCTATGAATGGCATGTGCTGAAAAGTACACACGCACAGCCTGGCACTGTGGCTCTGCTTCCAAGGCCTGCGGGGAAGGAAGACTAGCCAAAGAATGCGAGGAGGCCACAGGTGGTTGAACACCCCTCCCCTTCTCCCCTCCCCGGAGTATTTCCAAAGCATTCCCAGGGCGCGGCCTTTCTCTGGCCAGAGGCCTCCACAAAGCTCGAGTCCCCTTTGTGGGTCAGCAGCTGCCCCTCCGCGGCTCCCTCTTCTCCGGCGGCCGAGGCCTCCCTTCCCCCTCCCTCCTTGCCTCCCTCCCTCCCTCATTTCCGCCTCCTCCTCTTCCCCTCCCCCTCTCGAGGAGGCCAGCCAGCCAGGCAGGCAGCGCGCGCGGCGAAGGAAGGGCCGGATGCGGCTCGCGGAGTGGGCGGGGGAGGCCCAGGCGCTGACATCACCGCCCGTATAAAAGGAGGCGCGCGGGGCGCGGCCGCGTTCAGTCGGGGCGGACGTCGTCGCAGGAAGGTCGTTGAGAGGAGGCGCTCTCAGAAACAAAGGGGGAAGCAAGAAAGCGAGCAGGCAACCAGGCAGGCGAGACGCGAGGAGGGGAACCAGGACCTCGGCTTCCACTTTCGCCTTCCAGCGCGGGGGAGAAAGTGCCGAGCGCGCGCCCTCCTTGGCTTGCTCCTCTCCCCGTTCCGCGAATCTCGCGCCCGCCGCCGCCATGATGGAGGTGCAGAAGGAAGCGCAGCGCATCATGACGATGTCGGTGTGGAAGATGTACCACTCGCGGATGCAGCGCGGCGGCCTCCGCCTCCACCGCAGCCTCCAGCTCTCGCTGGTCATGCGCAGCGCCCGCGACCTCTACCTCTCCGCCAAGCTGGAGGACGACGGCGAGGACGAGGCCATGCCCGCCGCCCACGCCAACCAGGGGCTCGACGGGGAGCCCTCTCCGCCGACCCCGTTCCCCGCCGCCGCCCAGGAGGAGCCCCCTCCGGAGCCCATGGACACGCAGCCGGAAGCGGAGGCGGTGGAGCGCCGGGCCGAGAGCGCCCCTCCGTCGTCGCGGACGTGGAGCCGGGCGGGAGCAGCCAAGGCCAGCCGCAAGCGGCGCAGCAGCAGCCTGGGCAAGATGGGGGCGCTGGAAGCCGGCCTGGCGCCCAGCAAGAAGGCGCGCCTGGCCACGGAAGAAGAAGAGGAGGAGGAGGAGGAGGGGCGGCAGCGGGAGGCGGAGGAGGAGGGCCCCTTCCCCAGCCTGGCCCGCGTGCTGCAGGGACGCTTCTCGGCCCGCGCGCACGCCCCGCCCCTCCCGCTCCCCGAGCCCGCCAAGGACGAGCCCCCGGCCAACTGCTGCCGCCCGCAAGGCGAGGGCGTGCTCAGCATCATGGTCCGGGCCGTGGTGGCCTTCTAAGGAGGCGGCGGGCGCGGAGGAGGCAGCCCTCACTCACTCACAGCGGGGCCCACAAGCTGCTCGGAGTGGAGACCGCCCTCGGCGGCAAGCAGGGGAGACCCCCGCCCCCCCCCCTCGGGACCTGGGGCGGAGAGGGACAGGCGGGCGGCGGAAGGCAGGGCGAGGAGGACCAGCGAAGCCTCCTCAGCCCCGCCCCCCCCCCTCAGGCTCTGCCGGGTTGGCGACATGGCGAGACAAAAGGAGGCCCCCCAGAGACGCGGCTCGGCTGCGCGCCAAGCCAGGGACGGCTTCCGGACACGCCAGGGTCGGAGGAGAGTCAAAGAAACTTCGGGGGAGGACTAGGAGGGGGGAAAGAGGAGGAGGAGGAGAGACTCTGCAACCAGCAATGGTTCTTCATCATCATCATTACTATTACTATGGTGGGAAAAGGACAACCACTATTTCCTTTCCAGGGTGCACTTTATGGTGCTAGTTCAGTGATCCTGCCTTTCCTTGTTTGCATTTCTGGGTGGAAGGACGGTTTGGATTCCCTGCCTTCCCGAGTGGGCTTATTTAGGGCCCTTCCACACAGCCCTATATCCCAGAACATCAAGGCGGAAAATCCCACAATACCAGCTTTGAAGTGGATTATATGAGTCCACACACCAATAACGTGATATTCTGAGATATGTTCCAGAAGCATTCTCTTCTGAAATTTTGCCCATATCTATGGCAGGCACCCTCACAACCTCTGAGGATGCCTGTCATAAATGTGGGCAAAATTTCAGGAGGGAATGCTTCTTGAACATGGCCGTACAGCCCAGAAAACTCACAGCAACCCAGTCTTTCGGGTTTGGTGAGGATTCGGCACAAGCCCCTTAAGGAAGAGCAGTGGAGGGAGGGAGGGAGCGTGGCCTTTGCATTGCCCTCTCCAACGTTTCCCCCTCGGGCCACCCCACCCCCCTCCTCGGCAGTGAAGGGAAACACAGTGGCCTCTTTCTTTGTGCCAGAGAAACTCTCCCAACCGCATTGGTGTGTGTGTGTGTGGCAAGAGCAGGAAGGGGGAAGCAGGACCAGTCATACTTGTTATGACACATCTCTCATATGACTAGCATTTGCATTACACTGGGGCCAGGAGTGCTGGGGATTTCCTGTTCATGTTGCCTTAGCCCTCTGTGTGTGTGTGTGTGTGTGGCTGTGGCTGTGTTTTCTGTGGTTTTTTTAAAGTGTGGGTGGAGCCTTGAACTGTGAGAGCAGGGCAAGGGAAGAAGAAAATGTATTTTTTTCCCTTGAGGTTGTTATGTTCCCCATGACTGAGGCTGTTGCTCTATGTCAGGCATGGGCCAACTTTGGCCTTCTGGGTGTTTTGGACTTTAGCTCCCACCATTCCTAACAGCCTCAGGCCCCTTCCTTTCCCCCCTCAGCTGCTTAAGCTTAAGCAGCTGAGAGGGGAAAGGAAAGGGCCTGAGGCTGTTAGGAATGGTGGGAGCTAAAGTCCAAAACATCCAGAGGGCCCAAGTTGGCCCTTTCCTGCTCTATGTGGTATATTGATGAGAAATAATGCTTTTGCTTACATACTGTGTTTCACTGCAGTAAAGGGAGCTTCGAGTAATTCAATTTGTATCCCCAATTCATCAAGAAAATGTGTTTGCGTCTAAAAGCCGTCAATCAGGTTTCTGAAGGGGATTCCATGACACCGGGTTTTTTTTTTTGCCTTTTTGTTCCCGAAGCATTTCTTCTGCTTTGTTCTCAAAATGTACACAACAGTTCCTATTGTCTTGGACTTCTTGAGTGTGTTTGGGAAGGGAGAGAGTGACTAAGCACAGCTTCGTGGCAATGTGTTCTTCAGTGGTTTGCCAGACTGGTCACTGCCCAGGTACTTCATAATGTGAAATGTATGTAATTTGCATTTGTCTTTCCGATGCCTTGAAGAGGGCAACCATACTGGCTTATATTTGATTCTGTTTTTTTCTTACTTTCACGATGTTAATATTTTTGGACACTGAAATAAAGACAATTTGATTTTTTTAATACTCTTGTGGTGTATGTACTTTACCAAAACAAAACAAATCATGAATTTCCAGGGTTCATCTCTTGGAAGAAAATATGGAAAGGGGGAATGTTCAAAGACTCAGGGGGCTCATCTCCAAATACACAAAGCCTGTTGCCTATGTTAAGGTAATTGTGAATGGGAATAAATAAATTGCAATATTGAATTAAGAATCAAGTTATAGTACCAGACTGGTAGAGAACTATTATTACCTTAAATCAGTGGTTCCCAAACTTTTTTTTGACCAGGGACCACTCTCCAACATTAGTACCAAAAGGGTTACAAATCAGTTTTTGGTCAACTTAAGGTTCAGTTTGGTTATTTGGGGTGCTGATTCAGAAAATTTCATTGGGTAGACCACATCAGCTCTAGTTTCTGATACATATGTCATCCAGTAGTTGCCATCTGTTTGCTCTCAGAAAACCACAATCTAGAGCTGATGTGGTTTATCCAAAGCAATTTTGTGAATCAGCACCTCTAATATCCCCAGGAACAGGCCTAAAAACAAAGACACCAGGGCGCCCCCACTTCCAGGTGCCACATGGAACAGCTCCACTCAGGAGGAGGAAACACAGCAGTTGGGGGACTTGTCGCACCTTTCGTGGGTAGTCAGCCTCTCACCTCCCAACATGCCTTGGCACTATAAGAGGGTTTCATGAGACCAATCGCTCTCATTGCCTTTCAACGGTGTAACGGTGAGGCCGCGGACCATATTTTAGTTCTTGTGGACCACTGGTGGTCCACAGACCACAGGCTGGGAAACACTGACTTAAATTATTCAATAGCATATTAAAGAGTCGAAAAACCCAGCTTTCAGGCTACACTTCCCATAATCCTTCAGCTAGAGCCCTTCTGTAAACTATAGTAATAACTACAATAACATTAGCAGTCTTTCCAATCAGATACAAACATTATTTGTTTCAATTCAAAGTGATTAACTGATGGGATATGGAGTTAATGGTGTTCTCAGAAAGCCAATGCAATATCAGAGTATTCATAAATTTCCAAGAAAGGGAGGGTGCAGGGTGGAGGCAGGATCAACAAACTGAGACTTGCTTGGGCCAAGGTAGTCGGCAACTCATATCGGGAATCACGTTAAGGATCACCTTACAGATCCCATCATACCTTGGTTCAAGTGGCTCAAGTTGCATAACAACGCCCGGTTTCAGGATGGGTGTGAGAACATGGGAAGCTTATATTTAGAGCTCCAATAACACCGCTTGTAAACTTGTTTATGATGAATAAAAATAGCCTTTCTATCAACATGGGCCAGTAGCCAGCTGGACAGTGCTGGCAGGCAGTAACGTGGATGTGTGTATACACTGCAAAACATTGGCAGCTGCAGGATATTAAGGAGGTAATCCTCAATGAGAGCATCTTATGCTTATCTGCAGTTTGTTGGTTTGTTGTAATGGAAACTTTTCATATGGGCTGGTTAGCTAATACAAGTTCTCAGTTTAGGCCCTATGAGGGTTGAGGAGTAGGGCAGAATGCAACCTGCCAAGCAAAGTGTGGATTTCCCTTCAACATGACAAGATTTCTTAACAGGGATCCCATAGGGTTCTATGATCATTCAGCAGGAGTTCCTCAAGAGATTGTGACTGAAGAAATTAAACTTTAATTCGTTTTTATGCATGATCTCTGAAAATTATATCAAGGGTTCTTCTAGAGCAATGGTTCTTAACCTGAGGACCCCAAATGTTTTGGCCTTCAACTCCCAGAAATACTAACAGGTGGTAAATTGGCTGGGATTTCTGGGAGTTGTAGGCCAAAACACCTGGGGACCCACAGGTTGAGAACCACTGCTCTAGGGTAAAAAAGTTTGAGAAAAGGTGATCAATAAGGTCTCGCTTACAGAGTTATTTTTGTTTGTACAATGAAATATGGTCAGGATTTTCCAAGAAAGAAGGGATACTTAGAAAATAAAATAATTGCTAAAGAATGGGTATCTTGTTTCAATATAGGTAGCTAGATGCATTTCAGTGAAACTCTTACACCATTCAGTTAAGTAGCCATGTTGGTCTGTTGCTGCTTCTAAGCATTGATACCTATGAAAACCCATGCTAAAATATATCAATTGGCCTTAAAGGTGGTCCCTGATTCCAGTTTCCCTCACTTTTTTTCTTCTTTTAACATCATTCACTGTCACAAGCATACCTGCTTTAGGGTAAAGTCCACTTTTCAGCATCAGTACTTTAAAAGATATTATTAAACATGCCCCCTATGGGCCCCTGTGGGTTTCAGTGAGAGCTGAGCAAGCAGGTGGGGTGAGATCAATGGAGGCTGGGCCCCAGAGGCGCTCAGCAGTGATTCAGGGCTCAGGAATTTACTCCTTGTAATCTGAGCTGGTGCCAGTTCAGAGGCTGCAACCTGGTAATTTTCCCTTCTACAACGATCAGGTGATCGCCTGTTGGTTGTCGTTATTGTTGATTTATGGTGACCCTGTTATGGGGTTTTCTTGGCAAGAATTGTTAGAAGGAAATTTGCCCAGCCTGACATCTGAGGATAAAAGGTTGTGGCTTGCCAAAAGTCAGCCAAGTCAGTTTCCATATCCAAAATAAAGGATTCACACCCTAGTATTGCGGAATCCAGATTCAACACCTACTGTGGTACTTTTAATAAGGTTAATTCTGCAACTGTTATAAAGTGCTTGAAGTTTCTGAAACGGGACTAGCTTACTGACTTATACTAGCCAGTGTAACTCCATTCTTTGCTTTTACCAAAAGTGTGAGTGGGGTTCTTGGAGAATCACAGACCCATTTGTTCACACGCATAGACTTCTTTCTAGGCTATACTGTTATGGCTGCAAATGAGGGTCACACATCACAGATTGCTTTCTCATAACGTGCAGTTTCTCCCCAGGGAAAACTGTGAGCCTCCAGTTCAGCCCAGCCCTAGATCTCCCCACAGTCGCTTACTCCACCCCACCCTTGCCAGTGAGTCACTCGAAAGTCAGTCCTCGTCATAGCTTGCCGGTTCCGTTCCTACGCATAAACCACAGAAGTTTGATGTGATGGGGTATATGATGATGCCCTACTTTTCCTCTAACTGCGGAGCATTCTGGGTACAGTAAGCAGCTAACCTCATTTGGAGCCTTCTACTGATCCTGGGAGTAATCTTTTCCCTACTACAAAAGACATTTTGGAGTGCTCAGTCTATTTAGAAGATGCTTCCAAATGCCCTTAGGATCTGATGTGCTCATGTTACTCCTAGTCAGAGGTGTTTGCTAACTCTCTCTCAGCCTGGTGCCCTTATGCACACATTTTGCAGTGAATTAGCAGCAGAGAGCACTCTTTAAGTATGGGGCAAGTTGGGGCAAAGGGAATTTTCAAAGTG